GGGCTCTACGACCTTGTGGGCAACGTGTGGGAGTGGACCGGCCACCCCCATACCGGGCCCCCGGGCCAGGACATGCGTGTCCTCCGCGGGGCGTCCTGGATCGACACAGCCGATGGCTCCGCCAATCACCGGGCCCGCGTCACCACCAGGTGAGGGTCTTGGCAGCTGGGGGCCCAGGGTCCAGGTCCTGGTCTCCCAGAGCACAGGGGGCGCCACCCCCACACCTCTCCCTCTACCGGGAGTTGTGGGTACTGCAGAGAAAGCAAAGAGCCCAAGACAGCTGGCGCCTTCTCCTGCCAGCTCTCGGCACCACGAGAGACTTTGTGTTCAGCATCTTAATCATCTGGGCTTCTCCACTTGACCTCATAACTAGGCATGCAGGGGGAGGGAAGTGGAACGGGCACATTAGTAGGTTGTGGCCAGGGGTCATGGAAATACTGATGCTTCCAGCACATGGACACATGAAAAATCATTTTCTACAATCGTTTTGTTTCACAGTCAAGCAAAAATAGGCTCAGGGAGGTCCTGAGACCTGCTTATTTCAATGCAGGTGGTTAGTGGTGGCACCTGAATGGTAGGTCCCTGGCTCCCTTTCTAGAACTTTCTACTTCGTTCATCTGTAGATTTATTTTGGTTACTCTTCCTGCAACTCCTCCTACTCCTGGGTTCTGTAAGGACTGTAGAGAGGCTACTATTCCTGCGGCCTCAGGATGTCAGGTTTGCAGGTGTTACTCTGACGTGTTGAGGCCTCTGGGTTTTCCCCACCTTTTTCTTTAGAACAAAGTAGTGGGGAAAGTACTGGCCTGGGAATCAGGAAACTGGGTTTGCCTTGGGCAAGACATTTAAATCTTTCTGGTCTCTGATTCTGTGTCTGTGAAATGGTGAACAAATCCTGCCTCCCAGAGCAGTAAGGAAAATGGCAAATGAAGGAAGAGATATGAACGTTCTTTGAAAAGTGTGAAGTACTGATTGGTGCTGCGATATTCTCACCTCTTACCGACAGGTTTTTTTGGGCTGAGTTATTCTAAACTACTGACAGTTGAAGTTCTTAGTCGCTGCCTTTCCTGACTTCCAGCATGGTCTCTTAGGACCATCCTCACTTCCTCCACCCTGTCCCAAGGCCCTGTCTTACCTCTTTCCCCCAGGAATTGCTCACACTTGGGACCTGCCCTCCCCAGGCCTCAGGCACCCCAGACCAGCAGGCCCTGGGAGGTTGAGCAGGAAGGTTGGGTACGGCCCCAGGCCCCTTTCTCAGCAAGTGTTCCTCCTCTCTCCCCTTCCCTGGTCGCAGGATGGGCAACACCCCAGATTCAGCCTCAGACAACCTCGGCTTCCGCTGTGCTTCTGGCGCAGGCCGACTGCCTGGGGAGCTGTGAGCAGCCGTGCAGATGAGAGAGTTCTCCCGTGGTCCCCATGTCACTCCCTGGCCACACTGCAAATACAGCCAGACTCCAAGCTCTTCAACTTCAGCCTCAGGAACGACCTCCTTCCCTGTCCCCATCCTCTGCGCCAGGCCCCTCTGCCAGGGCAGGAGAGAAATCTGACCTCTGCAGAGGGGTGCTGCTGTCTCTTGGAGAAGGGGCGTAACTTGTGATTGTGGCTAGGAGCGCGATGTTTCTCTTGGAGGTCAAATATTAACCTTATAGGGACCAAATACTCAAGCAGTTAGGGTAGAGGACTCTGAAAGGCAGTTTGTTAAACATTTTTAAGTCTGCTCCCTTCCCCTTTCTCGGGATCTGACACTGTTTTCTCATGGCAGAATCTCCCCAGGTCTCCTTGCTTTCCCAGCAAGCTGCTATAGAAGGAAGATGATTTCCTTCATTTGCCTCATTTGTGGGGTTTCCAACCTCCAAGGGAACCTAATTTCCACTGTCTGTATGTAAAACGCAGTCACTTGGGCTCTTAGAAGCACAATGTCAGTCTTAGAGGGGTCTAGGGCAAGGAATGATCTACCGGACGAGATGGCACCACAGAAGTCATGCAGTAAATAATACTCCGGAAAGACGAGTAGCAGAAGCTTCCCCTTCTATTGTCGTTATGTCAGGGCTGCCATACACCTCTGAAAGCATGTCCCCAGAGAAGAACCTGCTCCCGTGGTGTCCCTGGACATTGTGACGTCAGTAAAGTCTCCTGGGATCTGTACCTCAGACTGTTCTGTGTCTTTCGTCCTCACTCTGGGACCCTAAGGGAAGTGCATCCGAGTGTCGCGAGGAGAAGCTGAGATGGCGATGCGACTGGGATGTGGAGGGGCAGGCGGGCTCCTGCTTCTGGACCACGTTTGGTCCCCCACTTCCCCACTCCGTGGGGCTGGCTCCGACTGCACTTACCACTGTGTGATGCCCCTGAGAGGGGACAGTGGCCCCGGTTCCAGGGGTGCTGGCCAGGGCCCAGTGCCTGCTCTGGACGGAGGCCTGCCCACACTCTCACTCCTTTGACTTACGTGTCTGTGGCTCCCTTCCCCCCCGTGACCCCCGCCCCACCTCCCCTGCCTGCCAGCCCCTCAGTAGTCCTCCTCAGCCAGGGAGAGGAGCACGGCCTTGGGTGTGTTCTCGAAGAGGGCAGCTCGGTTCTGCTGCTGCCCCTTCTTCACCCAGTGGCCGTAAATTCGGAAAGCATAGGCATCGATGAGTCGCCGCAGGGGCCGGAGGGCATAGGGGTCCCGGATGACGATCTCCCGGGTCACGGGCTTCACGCGGCGGTACTGGTAGTAGATCCGCACTGAGGCCAGCACCGTGAGAGCGATCACCTGCGGAGGCCGGGACTGAGGACCTGGGCCTGGCCCCCGCAGGCCTGTCTCCTTCCCTTCCAGTGCAGGAGGCCCTGAGCCTCTTTGCTGGGAAGCCTTGTGTGGCTTCTGCTGGGCCCAAGCGCTGCCCGATCCCTGTTCCCACCCCACCAGCAAGCACAGGGCTTTAGGCTGTCGGAGCTGATCTGTCTTCCGTGGAGCCAGAAGTTGAGGTGGAACCATCACAGGGCTGGGCAGGAGGGGAAGGGTGGGTGCTCTGGAAACCCCGGGGGTGTGAAGAGTCCCCAGGAAGGGCCCTTGGACCTCAGGTGCCTGCAGCGCCCGCCTCGGGGTCCTGAGTGGGAGGCGAGCTTCAGTACCTTGAACTTCCCCCGGGGGCTGAAGTGCCGCACTTCCTCCACCACGTACTGCTGGAAGAAAGGGTGCGCCAAGGCTTCTTCTGCCGAACAGCGGCCCTGCGGGCTCACCACCAGGAAGCGGGAGACCTGAGACAGCAAGGGGGAGCGGAAAACGTCAAGGCGGGTCTCCCCTGGCAGGTGCCTCCATCCTGTGACGCGGTGCACCCCCCTCTCCCTAGCCTGGACCTTCCCCCGACCCGAGCCCGGAAGCCGGCAGGCTGGGCCTCTCACCAAGTCCTTCACAGTGTCGGAGTAGTCATCCCACTCCGGGGAGCCAAACTGGTAGTTGCCACTCATGATCATCCGCAGCATCAGCATCTGCTTGCGGTGCCAGAAGGGCGGGGAGCCGGCTAGCAAGGTATACATGATGACCCCCGTGCTCCACCTGGCACCGGGTGGGCAGGAAGAAAGGCAGAAGCCGGTTGTAGCTCCTACTTCTTCCTTACCTCCTCAGCCAGGTGCTCCTGGCCATGGGGGTGTCCCTGTCCCCAGGGGTCACCTCCTTCCCCCAGCACACTCACATGTCCACCTCTTTCCCGTAGCCTGGGTGGTCATCATTCATGGAGCACTCAATGATCTCAGGGGCCAGGTAACTGGGGGTCCCACACACCTCTGCAGGAACAGTTTCCATCAGGACAGGTCAGCAGGGGGCACTCGGAAGAGGAAGGCCCAAAGAAACAATGGAGACAGAACCGAAATGGTGCCTGGGCTGGGACTCTCTGAACACTGGCCAGCTTCAGGGCCAAGGGCAGGGCCAAGGTGCTGGCTCACGTGGCCACCTACTTGGGGCCCACTGGTTGCCTAGTTACATCTAGCCATCCTGCCGTGGCATGCAGGTGGTGGGAACCTGGCCCACTCCAGTCCTGTGAAGAGACACCCGGCCCTGAAATGGTAGGATTTTTATTCTAGGGGAGAACCCAGGCAATCTCTGTTTCAGGGAGAGCTGATGAGAGCGCCTGAGCTCCTGACGTGGGCTAAGGCCACGTTACCAGACCTCGCAGCTTCTCTCCCGGCTCCAGCTGGCAGGAAAAGCCGAAGTCTGTGAGCTTGATGTTCATGTTGTCATCCAAGAGGATGTTCTCGGGCTTCAGATCCCGATGCACGATGTTGAGTTTGTGCAAGGAGCAGATCACCTCCAGCAGGGCTCTCATGATCTTTCTGGGGTGGGAGGGCACATGTTAACACTCATCTCCTCCTCTGCAGGGTCCAGTGACAGGCAGGGAGACCAAAGCCCACATACCAGCCAGACTGCAAGTGAGGGAGGACTCAAGACAGGCTGGGACTATCTAGGTTGAGTCAAGGAGGGAGGGAGACCACCAAAGCCAGCAGCTGACACACCCCACCCAGACAAGTGCATGCTGGGCCTCCTCCAAGACTTGGGGGCCTGTAGCACCAGGACCGGCAGGGAGTGGGGAGAGGAGCAAATGGACCCTCACCTGGTTTCCTTCTCACTCAGGGTGACCTTCTCAGTGAGGTAATCAAAGAGCTCCCCTCTCTTCATCCTGTGGGGGCAGAGGGATTTTAGCTGGAGGCATCCCAAGACTACCCCCTCACCCTGCCCCCAGAGAACTGCTTCCCCCTCTAACGCCTCCAGAGGCAGAATAGGCCACCCTCCGTGAAGGACCAAGATCTGCGGGGAGGCGCTGGGGGAGTGGGTGGAGACATCATCTGGGAAGACTAGAAGAGAAGGGAGGCAGGAGGGTTGCGATGGCACCAGTGTCAGGGTCCCCCATCCTTGGGAGTGACAGCATGGACTGGGATCTATCAGGGCCAAAATCGGGTGGGAGGGGAAAGAGGGACCCTGAGCCGCTGGCCCAAGGCCCCAGACCCAGGCCGGAAGCACAGGAGTCTCCTGATTTTTCCCAGGAACAAACAGCAGTAGCAGTACGAGCGGTGGAGGAGCAGTTTGGCCCATTCGGATTCCTTAGGGTTAAGAATTGCAGTTCAATCATCTCACTTCTTGGGATGATCTAGAAAGAGGTCTCTGCTACAATAACCTAGTTATACTCTAGAGGGCAACTTGGGGCAGCATTAAAAATAGCTTCCAGAAGCAACTTCTTCAAAGGTTAGAGACATCTGAGCTGCAGGACAGTGCCGCTGAGCGGAGCTGGGACAGCTGCAGCTGGGCAAGTCTGGAGGGGTCCAGAGAGAGTCTCCCTTAGTTAAATAGGAAAGGTGCGTCCTGCCCACTCCTGCCCGCCTTCTGCCCATCCCCAGGGAAAGTGGGGCACAAGGGATTTTGGCCAGTGGCAGAGAGGGGCACCAAAACCCTTGAGCTTAGTTGGTGGGGCAGGGAGGGGAGTTCTGTTTGAGGAGCAACCTAGAAATTACAGAAGTGAGCCTTGTTTCATACACGCTCAGTACTATGTTCCTAAAAGGCAGTATCCAGTTTTCATCGCTTTAATTCCATTTCAAAGACACGAGGATCAAGTAACAGTGGTGCTATTTCTCTTTTGTGGCCTTTTAGACTTCTGTTGCCCTAAAATTCCATTTTACTGGGAGCCCATTTGCCACCTGGTCTTTCTTGATAGGGTTTTTTTTTTTCCTACTTTAAACAGTTTCTAAATAAAATTCTGAATTTCAAGAGAAAACAAAAAGACACTAGGAGAACTCACTAATAGCAGGAGCAGCAAAAAGATTTACCAGTAAACACAAGGACCGTGCAAGGCCCATCAGCAAAGCAGGCCCCTGCCTTCCCGGAGCTGGCAGTTTAATTGTAAACACACACCAAGTTAAACTGTTAAAAACCATCACTGCACATGTTCAGTATGGCTACAAAATGAAGTGTTGCAACAATTCGAAATCTGCTTGCATAAGTTTCTCAAGAAAATCTAGTCCCTAAATTAGCAGTTATGTGTGGAGTAATCAAGACAGCTCTACAATGATGATTTGATGCTTTGTGCAACAGAGATGTATGTTCTTCAGTGAAGACTTGGTGGAGCTGGGGAACAGGAGCTAGGGAGTTTCCTTCCTTGGGAACCTTTTCCAATAAGACTGGTAGTAAGTCTGAGTGCACTGTTCACAGAGCATTTTGTGTTGTTCGAACTCCATGCTTGGAGCCTGGTGAGACAGGCAGTATCATCTTTACTTCCAGGAGAAAACAGAGGCTCTCAGAGCTAAATGGCCCACTAGTCCCCAGGGAAGTGGACCCTGGGACAAGGAGCTCATCTCAATAGCCATGCTGATACATAAGCAGAGGGACAGTGACATTGATGATGATGATGCTAGTCTTGGAACCACACCCTAAATACAGTCTCCACCATCTGCTTCTCTCCCCTGGTGGGTCTCTTGCCCTCATACTGCTGGCTTCCTCCTTTCCACTCTTGCCTCCTTACAGTCAGCAGGATCCTTTATAAAAGTAAATCAGATCACATCACCCTCCTGCTCTCGGCCCTCCGCAGTTCTTCCATGGCGAAAATGCTGGCTTGCTCTGCTCTTTGGGACTGACTGCCCTTGTATCCTGCCGTTGTCACAAGCTTGCTCCACTCCCCCACCCTAACTTCCTTTCCAAGCCTCAGACATGTCAAGCTCATCCAGCAGGGCCCTTGCTCTGGTTCCTCCCTCTGCTAGAAGGCTGCTTCCCCAGGTCTTGGCTCAGATCCCCATCTCCCTTCATCCAGGTCTCTGCCCAGGTCACCTCCTGGAGGGCATCCTCTGTCCACTCCCAAGGGAGCCCCACTGCCTCCAACCCCTGCTCAGCTTTATGAATACATGCATGTGCTTAACTCGGTGTGTATTTTATGACTTGATTGCTTTCTGTTCCCTCCCTGTGAAAATTCTTACATGAAATCAGCAACCTAATCTGTCTTGTTC